AATCCGTCGTCTCGAGCTTTATTAGGAACTAGTAACAAGACATTGCGGTCCTTCTTGTATAAATACCTCCTTTGAATCGCCATTGTTCCTAACGAACACCATTAGCTAAATTGCACAAAATAGTACACTGTACTGTACACTGAAGAGGCTGGTTAAATTTCACGGATTAAGTGCGTTCACTCTACGTGTTGGAGACGAAAAATTACGAAGGAAGCGATATAATAAGAAATGAAAACCGGTCTGCTTCACATGGCTTTACAGTAAAACTGACAATGTGGTAAAAAATCCATGCAATGTAAACGCAAACGCAACCCGAAGATATCATAGTACAGGYAAATAATTCCTTTWAAGCTTGGTGAACTTTCAACTTCTTTCAATTGCTTGAATTAGGCCAAAGATATGAGTCAAACATCAAATAACCGATTTGGCATTTCGCAGATAATGATCTATCTTAAACAAGCCTGAACCGTTTTTAAAACTCAAATATGTAATGATTAGGGAGGAGGAAGAGTGTCTTTACAAACTGCATAGACTGCGCCGGATGGATAAGCCAGAGTTAATTGCCGTTTATCTTGTTTCTTCTAAAAATATYCACATTTTGAGCGCTTGTCTTTGTTTATAGAAGGAAAATCACACTGACCTATTCACGAAATTATCTTCATTAATCAAAACTACCTTGTCTGGCTTGTAAGTCGAAAGCCAACAAACGATTCTTTATTTAATCCAGCAGCCTCCATATTGATGACATCATCCACCTCAGGTTCAGTTGCTAAGGCGACAAGTGGAAACCTCCAAACTCCACCGTTCATAGCTGTCACAACAAGTTGTGCTCGATGTCTGTAGGAAATATAGAAAAAGAATGAAAATCCATATCTAATCGAAAATAGAATACAGCACCTTATTGATGCAAGTGTTGCAAATTCATGATGTATTTTATCTCTATGGCTAAATATTACTAATTCGAATACCATCCAAATTTGCGTGGTATTGACTTTACAGTATCATGTCCCTGATGGAACTAAAGAACCAAGCTTATGAATTGGTAAAAGAAAAACAACAACAGAGTCAGTTCCCCCGAATTTCGTAAATCTATGAATATTGATAAGGTGAGGAGTGTCTGTCGCCTCGACAACTCTCCAGATTAATTACAGTAACGGCTGTAAATGGCCAATGCAGTGCAGTTATTGTATATATTAAATTCATATGTATAATCAATACTTATGTTACCGAAATGGCTTGAAAGGCGAGAAAATAAAATTGAAGACCAAGCTGATAACACCCGAAACTTGATTTCGTGCTTTTCGTATCAAGCTGACGCCAAGAGACCGCTCTAATGCTGCTTGTCCCTCTGCATCTTCAAAGAGCAGCTCATACCTATCAGAATAGAGTGTTTAGAAGGTACTTTTGCGTTAATAACCCTCAAATTGTTACTATGTTCCATCATTAAAGTAATGACAATGTTATGATTTCATGTAAAACAATGATTTTTTTTATGTGAATTCAAAATGGTTAGGTATTTCTACCTGAATTCCTCAGGGACATTGACATAATCGATACCATGGTCCCATTCGCTGGGGAGTATGTGGATAGGTATGAGTGTCCTAACATATGACGCATAACTCGCGCTGGACGTACTCGACGCAACCCCTGTTAACGTCACCTCCACTCTTTCCTCAACTCGACTTCGCGCCTTACATTCGATGCAAGGAGCTTGGGAATCATTGACTGGACATGATTCGGGAATTCCTTTGACTGGGAAGATCCAATGTAAATCATTAATGATGGATGACAAGCCGGCCTGGTTACCATATTGCAGCATTCCTTCATTCTTATGCATAGTAACGCTTACTGTGCATTCATAAATCTGCATGGTATCAGGTGCAAAGGATATCGGGATATCAAGGTTAGCATTTGGTGCTAGACTAATTGATTTTTGGTTTTTGAGKAGTAAGCAGAAAGTCGAGTCTTTGAGTTTCACGTCTGTGTCTCTTGCAGTGTTGAACAAAGAACCTGAAGATAAACAAATATTTCTTTAACCTTATCAAGCGAATTCAGTCCTACGAAGGTGTTTGACAATATTATAAACACAGGCGAGTACCCCCACCCCCGGGTTGACGGTGCACCTGAACAAGAGTGATACAACGTACAATACACTATAATTCATTAGTCAAGTAAAGCCCTTCAGTTGACAATACCTCTCATTTTCATTTAGCTTATTCATACCCTTAACTTTTATATACCTGTGTATGATTGACTTTTGGATCAGTTATAAAAATAAAAGGTTGAAATGATATCACGCATGTATCGTTTTTTCTCACATGCGAAAATGTAGCATACTGGCTTTTACTGGGTGGCATGGGTGGTCTAGTGGTTAAGCTGCTGGCCTCTCACCGCTGTGGTCCGGGTTCGATTCCCGGGCACTGACCATGCATATGTGAGTTTGAGTTTGTCTGATATGTTGTTCTCTCCCTTGCCACAAGGTTTTTCTCCGGGTCCTCCGGTTTTCCTCCCTCAGCAAAAATCAACA